TATAGGGGAATCTGTATGCCCAGAGTGGAGTCTGGTGCTTTGGAAAAACGCTGCAAGTCAGGAGATGCAAGGAACCATGGTGGTCAAAGTAACCCAGAGACCAAACAAACGAGAACTCCAAAACCCTGGTCAGGATTTGATCAAATATGCTAGAGAACTGCTAAATACAGAGGTTGCACTTACTGTAATCTGAGTGACATAATTTCATCAAGTTTTTAGTAAATAGCCAAGCTTTTTCCCTAGGTTGATTTTTTTTCAATGTCCTCTATTTCTCTGGGACACTACTAAGAGACAAAAAGTTGCAACACATATTTCTAGGATCAAGCTGCTGACCAGGAAATGGAGAACCTAGGCAGCATAGCCAGTCCTCCTTCTAGATCCAGTGCCTCCGTGGCAGCTTCTCCACAAATCAACTACTTGAGAACAATTTATTTACATCCTCATTTCTTAGATCTACTGGGCAGTGCACTTCTGACATGCGTGCACAACACAAGAGCTATGATTCAATTAAAATATGAAGCAAATACAATACCCTGAGGGAGAGCCATGAATCCAGAAGGAAATTTTGTTTCCAGAAATGCTTTTGAGAGGAATCCTCTACTTAACATTTTCAGTGTTCTGCTGTCAGAACTGTTCCCTTTGGAGAAAATGTGTAGGCTATGAAAGAATGCAGATATTCTCTTGGTTGAAGTAACGGTATGATTAGCAATTTTTTTCGATGAAACTACTGGATTTGTTCCAATCTGCCATGCTGTGTAAATATCTTGTATGCTTTGTTTCAAGGACATTGGTTTTGGAGGCTAGAAGACAGAATCTAGTAATTAACTCCCATGTTAGCATAAATGACCATAGCCTGAAGGAATTCTCACACCCACACAAGCTCCCAAATAGATCACAGATCACACAATTAACATTACAAGATGGCCGACTGCGTGTTGATTTTGGCCAGGAATTCCTGCTTCTTCATTTGCACTCCTTTGAAGGTGTCTCTAGTTAGCTAGTAGGATTTCGTGAGGTTTTCAAAACAAATTCCATGTTACTTTCCTCCACTGCAAATATAGGTATGTACCCTTTTCTACTGGGAGGAATGGGGAGGGTGGAGAAAGAGAATGTAACAAAATCAAACAAACAATGGCGTTTTCCAAGTCCCAAAAGTTGACTTCCTATAGCACTTACTATTTGGTTGATTCATTTGGCACCAAATACAGTGGCTTGGACTGGATTGAACTGTTTCACATGTATATGCTCTGTCTCTCACCACTCTAATCATTTGCTGCTGAGAGAGCAGCAGTGCCTAACTTTTCTTTTGTAAAATGGTATAACCACTTTGGAATATAGTTTGGCAGATTCTTAAAAAGTTAAATAATCCTGGACAAGAAAAAAGGACAGTAGGTAAAAACTAAGGAAACTCAAATAAAGTACAGACTTTAGTTAATAATAATGTACCAATTTTGGTTCATTAATTGTAACAAATGTACTGTAGTAACTTAAGATGTTACTAACAAGGAAAACTAGATATGGGGTATATAGGAACTCTCTATACTATCTGCCATGGACTGAATGTTTATCTTGCCCCCCACCAACTCATATGTTGAAATTCCAATCCCTAATATGATGGTAATAGGAGATGGGGCTTTTGGGAGGTGATTAGGTCATGAGAAAGAAGCCCTGATGAATGGGATTAGTGCCCCTTAAAGAGACTCCAGAGAGCTCTATTGCCTCTTCCACCATGTGAGAGTACAGTGAGAAGATGGCTATCTATGAACCAGGAAGTGGGCCCTCATCAGACACTGAATCTGCCTGTGTTTTGATCTTGGACTTCCCAGTCTCCAGAACCATGAGAAATAAACATGTGTTGTTTAAGCCACCCAGTCTATGGAATTTTTGTTATAGCAGCCTGAGCAGACTAAGATACTATCTTTACAATATTTCTGTAAATCTAAAATTATTCTAAAAAATAAAGTTTGTTTAAAAAAAAGAGCTAAAATAAAGAACTAAAAAAGTTAAATATATACGTACTATATTATTCAACCACTCCATGTCTAGGTATTTACCCCCCAAAAAAAGGAAATATATATATATAAAAGATGTGTACATGAATGTTCATAGCAGCTTTATCTGTAATAGCCCCCAAACTGGAAACAACCCAAATGTCCATCAACAAGTGAATGGATAAACAAACCAAACTATTTGTATCCATATAATGGAATACTACTTAGCAATGAAAAAGAGTAAACTATTGATACATATAACAAGATGGATGAATCTCAAAATAATTGCAAGTGAAATAGTCCAGACAAAAAAAGAGTACATAGTACAGTATTCCATTTATATATAACTCTAGAAAATGCAAACTGATTTACAGTGACAGAAAGATCAGTATTGTTGTGAAAAAAGGGCAGAAGGAAGGGATTACAAAGGGGTACCAGGAACCTTGTGGGTGACTGATACATTCACTGTCTTGATTATGGTGATGATTTCATAGGTGTATACTTATATCAATCAGCTCTTACAGATTGCACACTTTAAATTGTGTGCTGTTTACTGTATGTCAATTATACCCACGAAAATCTGTTTATTTAAAATAATCCAGTTAGTCATGTGAGGAAAAAGGGAGATAATTATATTAGGCTCATATAACTACTACCCTTGATCATGAAACATAGCTCTGAGCTTTTTGGTAGTGGAAATTTTGCTACTATATAACATTGTACCTGCCATTTGCCCTTTGGGGACCAGTTTCTTTCTCTGAAAAATGAAGAGTGACTCAAAGTTTTTTGCAGGCAGATACATTGAGAATAATTCTAAACATGTATCTTCTAAAATAATTTAAAAGAAATTCTGTTGCATTAATTTCATAAACCTTAACTTGAAATTGGCTAATAAAATGTTAATAATTCGGAATCCTCAAGTTTAAATGGGAATTAACAGTTAAGAATTATTTGTAAGTAATATATTGATTATTTTTTCTGAACATCTGTTCTGTGCCAGGCAATCAGTTCAAAGGCTTTATTTAAAGAGCTTTATTGAGATGTAATTTATATACTACACTATTCATCCATTTAAAATGTACAATTCACTGTTTTTTAGTATATTCACAGGGATGTGCAACCATCACCACTGTAAATTTTGTAACATTTTTATCACCTCAAAAAGAAGACTCAGACTGCTTAACGGGTACAGGGTTTCCTTTTGAGGTGATGAAAATTTTCTGGAACTAGATAGTGGTGGTGGTTGCACAACTTTGTGAATGTACTAAATGTCACTGAATTGTATACTTTAAAATAGTGCATTTTATGTTATATTGTATCCACCATACAAAAAACACACACACGCACACCCCCATACTCTTTAGGTATTTACCCTATCTCTCCATCTCCCCAGCCCTAACCAATCACTAGTCTACTTTCTGTCTCTATAGATTTGCCTATTCTAGACATTTCATATAAATGAAATCATTTAATATGTGGTCTTTGATCACTGACTTCTTTCACTGAGAATATTTTCAAGGTTCATCCACATTATAGTGTGTATTAGTACTTCATTCCTTTTCACAGCTGAATAAAATTCCATTGTATGAACATATCACATTTTTTTCATCCATTCATCAGTTGATAGACATTTAGGTTGTTTCCACCTTTTGTCTATTCTGAACAATGCTGCTATGAACATTTGTGTACAAGTTTTTGTGTTGATGTATGTTTTGATTTCTCTTTCTTGGTTATATACCTTGGAGAGGAATTGCTGAGTTAACCATTTGAGGAACTGCCAAACTGTTATTCAAAGTGGTTGCACCATTTTACACTCCCACCAATAGTGTATGAGGGTTCCAATTTTTCCACATCCTCACCAACACTTGTTATAATCTGACTTTTAGATTATAGCCATCCTAATGTGTATGAAATGTTATCACTGGATTTTGATTTTGATTTTCCTGATGAATAATGATGTCAGGCACCTTTTCATATACTTTTTTCCTAGAAATGTGATCATATAGTCAATATTTTGCGTGGGCTCTCAGGGGGTTCATGGACTCTCCAAGTTGTGAACCCCTAGAGTGGAGTTATTGGATGAACATACAAAGAGAAACTGTCACGGTAGTTATTATAAATTATATTTAATCTTAGTAAATAATATAGGGTATAATTGCTTCTTTTACACTGCTATATATTCAATAAGAAAAGTGAAAGAATACTTTTTAACATTAGTGGCACTGAAATATTGAGTTGGTTTCTACTACGTGATTCTTAGTGGGGGCAAAGGGGAAAGAGTCCCAATTCCCATCGGAATGAGAAGTGTACATCGTATATTACCATCTCTGAAATCAAAGGGCAACCCCACAGACTGAGTGAAGTAGGAAAAATTACCAATCCCTTCATTAGTACAAATAAGATCGTACTAAATAGGATTAGAAAACTAATAGAATAGATGTCTATACACCAGGGAGGTATCTGTGTAACAGGAGAGTAAAAAGAGGTCTAGGGATGCTAACTTGAAAGTTATTTTCTGGATGAGCAGAGGGTACTGGGAAAAATAAACACTATTCAACAACAATAAACAGTTATTTTGGTGAGTACTAGCTTACCACTGCCACCACAACTTTACACCTACAACATATGAAACATGTCTGTTCCCAGGGACTAGATGATCATTTTCCCAGTGGTCTGAGGAGTCACCTACAAAGTTTGGATCTTTGCTGTGACTGGATGGAGTAACAGCGGCCTAAACTTTGGAAACTCAAAGGAATGTCCTTAGGCAGCTTTGAGGGGGTCATTACACCCCATGGTATATTCTTAGAACCTGAGGAAATTTCCTTATATTGGAAGCTTACACATTTGCATTTCTTAAGGCAGCTAGCCTCACTCTCTCCACCACATCAGCTTTTAGAAAATGGAATGATTTGGAGTTGCAATTAAAGTCCCAGGCAGAAGCTCTTCTAGGATGTTCCATTGCTTAACTACAAAGACAGCAAAGAAAAATAAGCAATTCAAGTTCTGTACCTTATTTCACCTTCTCTAATGTGACCTGCCAGTTCTTCAATAAACTTCTCCCCTTTCATCCAGTAGATCATTGGTCCGGACTCTCCACTAAATCCAAAAAATGCTTTGCAAGGGATGTTCAGAGGCTTACCTGCGAATGACAGAGAAAAAGAAATGAGCACATGGCTCCTAGTTATCACTGGGAGACAGAAAAGGACCATTTAACATCCAAATGAAAACTTAGAGGTGACCCATTTTCAACTATTCTTCCAATCATCTTATCACTATACATGAGAAACTTTTTAAATAGTTACAAGGGTTACTGGGAAATTTTAAAATTCAAGATATTATCAAAAATGAGAAAGTAAAGAGAGTTACTCAGTTTTTAGAACTGCTTATTTTTACTGGTTCCCTCCTAGGAACTAATCTGAAAGAATAAAATGAAAAGAACCCTCTCTTATTTTTCTTTTTTGAGAGTGTTAATTACTGCTTAGTTGGACTTGCTTTTGAAGTTAACATTAATCAAAAGTATAACAATTTTCGATTGGTGGGAAAACATATAATAGACTATCCACTATTATGAAGATTGCATAGGGAAATTTTGTTTATTCTGATGATTGTCTAGTCTAAGAAAAATTGGATAATACAAATCAAAGCAAGAATTTTTTAACTACAAAAATATCTATAAAAAGTACATGCAGGGAAAACTCAGTCTAACCATATCTTGTATATTATTTGTGTCACCTACAGTACTTAAATAATTCTAGGAAATACTACACTGCTTTTTATTTTGCATTTTTGTGATTATAGCTAAAGACTTTGTTTTAATTGTAAATTTATCATGAAATATATAAGCAATTTTTTTTTGCTGGCATTGATTTTATTTTCTTCTGGCAAAGTAGATCAGTAAGGTAAGAATGGTATAGAGAGCACAATCTTGATAATTCTGACAAATAAATCCCCCAATTCATAAATTATATTATGACATATAATTTTCTCTATAACACGCAATTTTTACCCTGATTGGAGCACTAGATAAAGCAATTTCAAAAATATTTGTCTTTGTAGAGTACATGGTGGACTTGTTCCCATGATCACTCTGAGCCATGGACAAATTCTCCATACTATTCTTAAATTGATCCAAAACTTCCATGTTCTAAGAACCATTACTTTCTGGGACCCTTTGTATATAATCACCATAACTAGCAGATGGCTTTCTTTGATGACCATTTTCACAAAGAAACAGTTTTCATGGGAGTTAGGGTCTACATTAAGACAAAGCAGAAATTAAGAAAACCTTATAGACAAGTGAATGCAGGGTGATAGGCTAGGCTTAACCACAATAAGTGACTAGTTGCCAAATATTGGTCTTTGAATAGTGTAAATTTATCTCAGCAAAATGACATGCCGTGGACCTTTGAGATTATTCTATTACTGTCAAAACCTTTAATATCAATAGTCTCTCATATATTTCTCATGCAAATCTGAAACAAGGTTATTCATTCTTGCTTTGAACGTGTGCTCTGTGATACAAGCTTGTGTAAAAATGAAAGATGGCCTTGTATAGTGGAAACTGCGCTGGACTAAGTGTTAGCAGATTTGGATCCTAGTTTCAGATCTATCATGAAAAAGCAGACTACCTGGCCCTGGGAAGATTACCTAACCTTTTATAAACTGATTTTTCATATATGTAATGAGAATGTTAATAATACTTGGGAAGCTCAGATAAGACAATGTCTACAAAAGAGCTTGGTGAACTCAAATGTCCCATCCAAATTTAGCATAGTGGTATTTCTCCTTCTAAAGCTTGGTCTTTCAAGAAGTAAAATTTGAGGCACAATCTGATGTGGACAATAAGATAGATAAATTTTCATTTTGACCCTGCCAATCTCATGTCTTTCTTTTATTTATGAGCTCCTATGGGTTAATATCTTCTCTTATCAATGCCCTATAAATATTTCCTGGATTCTAGAGTAAGTGTGATTCATCCACGCTGGCCCCGTGTTCTCTAAACCTGAACACAGGGTCTTTTCTTTGCCTTACTACTCTTCATTCCCATTAAATTGAAGGTAATAAGGAATGTCAAACCAGTTGGCAGAAAATCCAGAGACTGTCATAAACATTATTATAAGGAATCCCAGTTGCTAGAACTACCAGTATATACATTTATACACATAAATTCTGGTTGTCATTTCTTTGGGCTATGTTGAAAGAATATACCAAATAAAATAACGTTTAGTGATTCCTAGCATGTGAGTGCTCAGGCCTGGTTTGATTTTAATGGAAGAAGACAATTATAGCAATGTGCAAAAAGGGGCCTCCTTGAAGTGGTCTATCAAAAATGACAGTGTCTGCTCCTTCCTTGGCACTACACAATGGGTACTAACTATTGCAGCAATTTCTCCTGGGAATGTTTTTACTCTCCCATCAGACAGGTTATTATTAAATAAACTCAGGAGACAGATATTTCAGCAGTCTAGTTTCTACAAATGCTGAACAAATATCCTGAAACCTTTTGTCAACAGCCAAAACAGGAAAACCATCCAACCATCGTATGCGATACTCTGAGGAGAGTCCCAAAACGATCAGCTCTTGTGTCAGATATTGAGAATCAACCAGAGTGTGGGCAACTCTTCTTCCAAAAGGCATGGGGGGGGTCTCTGCATTGATTGGGCAAATAACCTGAAACAGAATCTCTCCAGGCATTTCTAAAATCTGGCTTATGTGCATGTGTAAACTCCAATCTACCATTTGCATCTGTTTGCTACTGTATTGTTTTGCCTCTGGACATTTTCAAAGTCATTCCTATGGTATTGTATACTCTACTAGCAGAGGTGACCAACTCACATTGTATCTAAAGGGGAGAGTACAGTAGGTTGAAGAGTATCAAAATAAAAGAACTTTGTGAGTTTCTCAGTGTTTTGTGCTATTCACAGGTAATGGCTTTAGACATGACTCTCTTTTAGGTTCAACCTGTATTACTAATAATTTCCCTATCACTTTCTTAAGTCTAGACAGTCAACAAAACTTATATGTCCATACAAAGACTTGTACATGAATGTTTACAGCAGCTTTATTTGTAATAGCCAAAAACTAGGAACAGTCCAAATGTCCATCAACAGGTGAAGGGATAAACATTTTTACCTCCATACAACAAAATACTAATCAAGTATGAAAAGGAATGAAGTACTGATACATGCCACAACACAACGTTTTTCAAGATTTCAAAACAATCAAACAGTGAAAGAAGCCAGACAAAAGAGTACATGCTTTGTGATTCTACTTATATAAAAATCTAGAAAGTTAAACTAGTCTACAGTTTCTTTAAAAACTGCACATACATCTGCCATGTGATCCAGATATTCCCTATTAAAGGTTATGTCCATAAAAGACTTGTATAAAAATATTCATATCAGCTTAAATTTTTTTAATTGAGGTATAATTGACATATTACATTAGTTTCAGGTGTACAACATAATGATTCAATATTTGTATATATTGCAAAATGATCACCATAATGTCTAGTTAACATCTGTCACCATACATAGTTATAATTTTTTTCTTTTGACGAGGACTTTTAAGATCTACTGTTTTAGTAACTCAAAATGCAATACAGTATTATTAACTATTCTCACCATGCTATACATTATATCCCTATGACTTATTTATTTTATAACTGGAAGTTTGCACCTTTTTAACTCCTTCATCCATTTCACCCACCTCCCACACCCCACCTCTGGCAACCACCAATCTATTCTCTATATCTATGAGCTTGTTTTTCTTTTCTTTCTTAGATTCTGCATCTAGGTAAGCTCATATAGTATTTGTCTTTCTCTATATGATTTATTTCACTTAGCATAATGCCCTCAAGGTCCATCCATGTTGTCACAAATGGCAGGATTTCATTATTTTTTACAGCTGAATAATATTCCACTGTGTATATATGTGTGTGTGTGTGTGTATATATATATATATATATATATATATATGTACGTATACACCACATTTTCTTTATCCATTCATCCATCAATGAACACTTAGGCTGTTTCCATATCTTGGTTATTGTAAATAACATTGCAACGAACATGGGGGTGCAGATACCTTTTTGAGTTAGTATTTTCATTTTTCCTGGATACTACCCCAAAATGGAATTGCTGGATCATATGATAGTTCTATTTTTATTTTCTTGAGGAACCTCCATATTGTTTTCCATAGTGGCTGCACCAGTATACATTCCCACCAACCATGCACAAGTGTTCCCTTTTCTATGCATCCTCACCAACACTTGTTATTTCTTGTCTTTTTGATAATAGCCCTTCTAACAGCTGTGAGGTGATATTTCATTATGGTTTTGATTTGCATTTCTCTGGTGATGAGTGATGCTGAGCATCTTTTCATGTACCTATAGGCCATCTGTATGTGTTGGAAAAATGTCTCTTCAGATCCTCTGCCCATTTCTTAATTGGATTTTTTTTTGCAATTGAGTTGTATGACTTCTTTATATATTTTTCCTATTAACCCCTTATCAGAGATATGATTTGCAAAAATTTTCTCCCATTCCATAGGTTGCATTTTCCTTTTGTTGATGGCTTCCTTTGCTGTGCAGAAGATTTTTAGTTTGATGTAGTCTCACTTGTTTATTTTTGCTTTTGTTGCCCTTGCCTTTGGAGTCAGATCGAAAAATTCATCACCAAGACTGATATCAAGGAGCTTACTGACTACATTTTCTTCTAGGAGTTTTATGGTTTCAGATCTTACATTCAAGTATTTAATTCATTTTGAGTTAATTTTTGTCTGTGGTGTAAGATAGTGGTCTAATTTCATTGTTTTGCATGTGGCTGTCCAGTTTCCCCAATAACATTTACTGAAGAGACTGTCCTTTCCCCATTGTATATTCTTGGCTCCTTTATCATAAATTAATTAACTACATATGTGTGGATTTATTTCTGGGTTGTCTATTCTGTTCCATTGGTCTATGAGTCTGTTTTTATGCCCATCTCATACTGTTTGGATGACTATGGCTTTGTAAAATAGTTTGATATCAGGGAGAATGATGCCTCCAGCTTTGTTCTTTCTCAAGATTTCTTAGGCTATTCAGAGTCTTTTGTGCTTCCATACAAATTTTAGAATTGTTTGTTATATTTCT